TAGATGCTCTTCAGTCCTTGACTTTTGAGGACAAGCAGGCCATTGGAAGCACCCGTAGTCACCTTGGTAGTGTAGTGGGCCATGACCTCGGGCTGCTAATGGCAAGATCGGTATTTCAGAACCACCAGCCTTGCTGAGGGAGAAAGACGAGGTTTTCTATCCCCATGAAGAGGTACAGTCTCGGAAAACCACAGGGGCACTTCCACCCTGCGATGTAGGGTCCAGTAAATGAGGCAGCAGGAAGTGTGAAGGGCCAGGGACAAGCCCAAACCGAGCCTGTGTGGACCATCTCATCCCCTTGTGTGCCTCCTGCTCTCAAGGGCCGCGGGCCCATTTAAAGCCCCAGGTTCCGCTAAACGAGGAAGTGGAAGCGCTTCAAAACCCAAACTCAATGCCATCTGCTCATTTCCAACTAGACTACTCCGTTGGGTTTTCAAGACTGGATATTTATGGGAGCACACTACCGCATCCTTCTCTCTCAGAGGGACTGCTGGTTTTGAACTTTCGACCTTGCAATTGTCAGCCCAACATTTAGTCCAGTATGTCACCAGGCTCCCACAGAGCCTAGTTACATATTGATACATAGTTACTTATAGATATATATTCATATTTGTAAGAGATACAAATAGGATGTCGGAAGAGCTGAGTTAGCCACCTTTTCTCAGGCCAGGCCAACTTGTCTCCGGGGTGGGGGTGGGGGCCAGGCAACTCCTCTCCACACTGGCCTCCTTCACCCTGTCTCACTTCACCCATAGACTCCGCTTGTCAGACTGGGTTCCTGTCTGAGTATGAAACAGGCTGGAGCACATTGCAAACAATTTTGGTCAGTAGCACAAAGGAGATCCAAGGTCTTATATTTGGATAAAAAACACAAAGCAAAAAACCCGCTGCCAACTCACAGGGACCCTAGAGGACAGGGTAGTGCTGTCTCCGTGGGTTTCCGAGACTAACTTTTTTTTTTTTAATTTTCTTTAAAAAAAAATTATTTTGTTAGGGGCTCATACAACTCTTATCACAATCCATACATACATCAATTGTGTAAAGTACATTTGTACATTCATTGCCCTCATCATTCTAAAAAAATTTGCTCTCCACTTAAGGCCCTGGCATCAGCTCCTCATTTTTTCCCCTCCCGCCCCACTGCCCCCTTCCTCATGAACCCTGGATAATTTATAAATTATTATTTTGTCATATCTTGCCCTGTCCGACGTCTCCCTTCACCCAC